ATCCCGCCACCTGCTCGATCCCATCTCCTTTCTTCCTTTCGCAGAGGTAACCATTACTCTTAATTTTGTGACTATCCATTCCTTTACTTTTCTGTGTAGTTTTAGCATATGTTTATATCCCTAAGCAATACAGTTTTTCAATGTATATATGGTATTGTGTGTATATATTTTTCTGTAACTTGCTGTTTTTGGTCAGTCTGTGTTCTTGAGATTCAGTCTTATTGTGTATGGTTGTAATTTTTTTTTCACTTACAGCATACTAGAATGAATTGTCATAATTTATTCATTATTCTGTTGGCAGAGTTGTTTCTAGTTATTTTTCTATTGCAAACAGTGTTGCTAAGAACATTCTTGTATATACTTACTGGTGTACATGAGCAAGATTTTCTCTTGGTATTTGCTTAAGAGTAGATTTACGGAATTACAGAGGAAGTGATTTTTAAACTATGCTATGTAATGCCAAATCATTTCTCAAAGTGGTTAACTAATTTGCACTTCCATTGTATTGGATCCAACCTAAGAACTGGACCTTACCAATAACTTTCTTTTCCCCTGTCCCACTTGTCCGTACATTTCCTGCAGATAACCTCTTTCCTGTTTGTGTTTATTCTTACCTTTCTAAAAAAAGAAGGCATAATAATATAAATCATATATAATTATATGTACATATATATTCATATGTATAATCTGTAATCATATATATAAAATAATATATATGAATATCTACACAATAAGTTTTTAGTTTTATTTATTTTTGCCCCTATTTTAAAATGGAGTATTACACTGTATATGGTTTTCTGGGATGTGTGTGGTTTTTTTGTTTGTTTGTTTTTGTTTTTTTATTTGAGAGAGAGAGGAGTGGGGTGGTGGGTGTAGGGGCAGAGTTAGAAGCAGACTCCCCCCTGCGCAGGGAGCCTGATGCGGGGCTTGATCCCAGCACCCTGGGATTACATCCTGAACCAAAGACAGAACTTGGCCCACTGAGCCACCCAGGGACCCCAGGACTTGTTATTTTCAGTCAAAATTATGTTAGTAAGATTCAGCTGTGTCTTTGCAAGTTCTTGTAGTACCTTCCTTCTTATGCTTTATAATTTATTAATACCTATTAATACCTATTAATATTTAATAATTATTAATACCTATTTTATTTATTCTGTTGATGATCATTGTTATTGGTTATAAAACAATAATAATAGCAACCACTGATAGAGTATTCACTATGTCCTAAACATTTTTTTAAGTGTTTTATATGTATTATCTCCCTTAAACCTTATAAGAACTGTGTGAGGTAGGTACTATTTTATTTTCATTTAGCAGATGATATAACAGAGCAAGATGGGTTAAGTAACTTGCCTAAGGTAACACAGATATCTTCTACTAGTTGGGGCCGGGATTCAAATCTAGTCTGTCTATAGTTGGCTTTTATGTAGTGTGTTGTTTTGGATTCTGGAAATACAGGCAATATTTCTGTCCTCTCAGATCTTTAAATATAAAATATGATACTTGTTCAAAGACACAGCATATTTTACTATTTTTAAGGTTTTAATGTTGAGAAAAAATTTATAATCTTTATTTGATTGTAATTTGAGAGATAAAATTATGTTTGGAATGTACTTCAAACTCTAGCAAGCTAAGCTACGGGACTCTGAATGCACTGATTGGGAAGGCCATCTTTATTTAGTACAATAGCTCATAGTGCTCACATGTGGATATTAGCACCATCTACTGGCAATGGCAAACAATAGCTTGGTGTGTCACAGTATAGTATTGTTTGGAAGACAGTGTACACCTTCATAGGATTTTTCTTTTTGAAAACTGTTCCTGGAGAAATTAGTATTTTGTAATTTTTCTGTGTACTGAGTTTTGTGCCGCACTTTGGTTTCCTTAAACTTCCAAGTATCAACTATTAAATACTGCACATTTGCATACTTCGAGACTGTATTGCTTTGAGGAAAAGTTTAAGAAAAAGTATAGCTTTATAGGTCTGTCATCCTTCAGTAGTCTTTTTCAAAGCATACATAAAATACATGAACTTATTAATTTACTAGAGTAATAGGAGGAAGAGCAAAGTTGTCATATTGGACTAATATGAAGTATATTTAATTTGTCATTCTGCTTTGGCTTAGTTAAGTAATACTGTCTTTTGGAGTCAGAGGAGTAGAATTAATAATGGAGTGAAAATAAGGGTTCTCTGACTAACCGTGGGAAGCTTTTCTCTGCTCAGTTCTTGGTATTAACCTAAATTTTACTTTCATCTTTCCTCCTTAAACTGGTTTAGCTTTCATTTGTCAGTGGCCTGGTATCTTGTTTGTATCCTGTTTTAGACTAACTTCTATATTTTGAACTTTTCTTTGCTTTTTATTTCTCTCTTTTAACCTATGTGACTTAAAAATGTATGAGAAATCATTTGCCTTCTCTTTCTATTTCTTGTCTGATATTTTCCATTTCTTCTTCTTTTCCAATGTGTTTTCTTTAGACACTTTACAAGTTAAAGTTGCCTTAGATGTGATGATTTTAGTAAGAAGAGAAATATAGTCTTTATAAAAGGAGGGACATGGTGACTGCTTAATGAGTGTTGGTTGAGTGGTTCATTAAGGAAATTTTAAAAAGCTAACTTATATTATAGAGCAAGAATGACTCTGTAGGGAGCCATTGGTCTGATATGTTTATTTGTGAATCTACTGAGAACAATACACAATTGTTTTTTTATTGCCCTGTGGCTATTTAACACTTGAAATGAGAATTGTTTTCTGTTTAAAATGTTAGCTTATCATTGGTATACTTTAGCAATGTCTGATTAAATAAGATAAAGGCTTGTTTATTTAAAAATAGCAATAAAAAATTTTAGACTGTATGTCACATTGTCACATAGTTGAATTTAAAAAGTCAAAGTTCCTAATAGTTTAGGTTTTTAACTAATGTTAAAGATAGTCTTGGTGTAGGAAATGAAAATGGGGTCATTATGCTGTATTTGTTAAGTTTTTGTTGTTTCTTTGAGTATTTTACTTTTGAGCATTCATTACTGCTAAAGGGAAACCTAATTCCCCTTCCTTAATCTGATCTATGGTAGATACCAAAGCATTTTTATTACATTTAAAAATATTTTTAAAAAATTGCTTACTTTAAGTGTAACTCCTCCCCCCCAATACTTAGTCGACTACCTTATTCTGTATTTAAAGAGAAAGGTGTATAGGAGGCTCTCAAAAATATATGAACATGTAAAATTTTTAAATGATACGAGTTTTCAAAATGCTTTTTATTATTGTCAGATAATTTATTCCTTTCTCTCAGACTCTTTAATTATCAACTGATTCTTTGATTTGATATATTTTGTCTCCTGATTAACTGCTAATATTGCTTAATTCAGAGCTACTTTTCCTCATGCTGAGTTTTAGATGAGGGGATAACAAAATGAATGATTACTGCCATCTAAGGACTATTATAATTTATTATGAACTTTACACTCTTTATATGTTCTAGAGAAAAATATGTGAAGAGATCTGTTGAGGCAGAAGAACTGATTGTTTTACTTGTACAGAGCCATCAGAATTTAGTCTGAACTGAAAATATTAAAATGAAACTCCCAATGTCAACATACATGGTAGTATTTGGGGGGGACCTTGAAGAATAGGAAGGAATCGGTAAGTGGAGATGAGGAAAGGGTGCTTAAGCCTAAACAAACCGTTGCATTTTGCACTGGATCTTTGAAGTAGTATTTTAACAAATAAATTTCATATTCTATGAATACTCTTGGGAATTCTGACTTTATGAATCATGAGTTGCAGTTCTTTTAGAAGACATATAATACTTCTTTCATGTGGTGTATTCTATATCACTCCATTAGAAGATTATGTTCTGCTTTACGCATGAAATTGTCTGCCAGAGTATTTTAGAAATGGGAGAAAAAAAAACTATTGTGTTTTCCAGTTAATGCAGTTGGTATACTGTTTGAACAGGTGCTTAGAGAAAAAATTAAGTTCCAAAACACAATTTACCTGGGGAGTGAATTGTTTTTAAACTAGTATCACAATTTAGAGAACATTTTTCATATTCTTTTACCTGTATGTAAAAATATTTTTCCTCAGCACAAATCTGTCTCCTTGAGAGTTATCACCTTTCTGTGTATAGGCCCTAGTTTATGTGCTGCACAAAAGGGCACAGGTAAAGATGTTTGAAAGGGTTGAAATGCAGCTCTTCTCAGCTACTAAGAGCTCTTCTCTAATTCCTTTTCCCAGAGGACAAACACACTCCAGTTAGAGAAGCCCCTATCCTAGAAGTGATTATACATTTGCTTTATTTAGTGAGTGGATTCAGCACTTACCTTCTAGAAGAGTATAGGCACAAATTAGGAACTCAGTAAATATTTTCTGCATATATAGAATATTCAGAAGTCCAATCAAGATGAAATTCCCCTTTGATCCTGTCGTTTGGGCAGATTATTATATATGTCTCTTGTGATTTAGAAAAATTGACTACCCAATCTATGGTTTTCTTGAAGTAAAATTCTTGGTTTATATGGGTAATTCAGTTCGTTGTGCTTTGCCAATTGTTATTGCCAATATGCTGGGCTTTTGTTTTTTTATATTGCTGTTCTTGTGATTTAATGGTTTAAAAATCTAACTTATTAGGGCACCTGGGTGGCTCAGTGGGTAAAGCCACTGCCTTCAGCTCAGGTCATGATCTCAGGGTCCTGGGATCGAGCCCCGCATCGGGCTCTCTGCTCAGCGGGGAGCCTGCTTCCTCCTCTCTCTCTGCCTGCCTCTCTGCCTGCTTGTGATCTCTCTCTGTCAAATAAATAAATAAAATCTTAAAAAAAAAAAAATCTAACTTACTCAACTAAATTGAGTGTATGTTAAATATTCATTAAATAATTTGTATCTATATATTAATGCACATTATACTTAATATATTTAACATTTTATTTATAAAATATTTATTAACATACTTTTATTATAAATATTTATACTTTATATATTAAAATATTTAAATTTTAATTTCAGGTATATTATATTTTTTTGCCCATGTGACCTAGTTTCCCAGGGCTATTCTTTCCTACCTGTTCAACTCTTGGCTGCGGGAATGAAGGAAGTGACCAGAACTTGGAAAATAGTAGGTGGAGTCACACATGCTAATAGCTATTACAAAAATGGCTGGATAGTCATGATAGCTATTGGATGGGCTCGAGGTAATGTTAACATTATGTGTTTGTAAATATTCTGTTACTGATATATTACTGTTACTGAACGATTGTCTAGCAAAATTAATAAAGATCACATACTTTAGTAACAGTATTTTTGGAAGAAGGAAGTCTTCTCTTGGCTAGTAAAGTTAATTCATAACTAGCACTTTCACTAGTACTAGTCATCAGCCATTATTTTGAGCCTGACTACCTTACAATATAAAATTCTTCTGATTGATTTGATTAGTAACTCAGAACCAGAGAGATTCATAGTTAATTAAGGTATAGTACCACCATAAATAAAATAAGTTGACTTAAGAAATTATGTAAAAAGATTATATTAAAATTTGCTCTTTTTTGTATTTTTTTTCATCCCAAATAACTAGAAGTAGTAAATATGATTGATTATGGGTTCATCTTTACTCTGTATCATGTAGAAATTGAACAAATTTCCCTAATCTCTTATTGTATTGTACTGCATCTAAAACTAGTATCAGGGAATGAAATGATAAAGCAGAAAATTTTAGTTTTCAGGCCTGAAATAAACCTTTAGGAACATCTCTGTTCTTGAGGCTCCTTAACCTTAATTTTAACCTTAATTTTGATATGATAGACAGTTGGCAACACTGACCGAAGGGAGGAATTACAATTATTTCAGTACCATAAGTATACAAGAAAACTATTTTATTCCTACTCAAAATTATATTGGGATTTTCTTGGGTTGTTTCAAATACTTCCTCCATAAAATTTGGCTAAATATTCTTGTTTTATTTTTAGGTGCAGGTGGTAGCATTATCACGAATTTTGAACAGTTGGTAAAAGGAGGTTGGAAACCAGAAGCTGATGAATGGCTGAAGATGTCCTAGTGAGTTGGTATAATCTATACTGAGACCAGCTTTTTATCCTTAGATCTTACCACATTTTTAATATGGATGCAATGGAGCTTAAAAAAATAGTCATGATAATGGGAGGAGAATCAGGAAACTTACTCTTTCAAAAAGTCTGCTCTCTCAAATGTAGTTTTTAAAATAAATATTGATTCTTTTCTCTGTGGGTTCCTCCCCTTAGAAAATAAAACCAAACCAGAGCTCTTGGATTTTTATAGAATCGTGGGAACAGTGTTTTTTTATGGAGAAAAAAATACATAGGAACACACTTCACTGGATGGAAATGAATCAGTTGCAGGTTTTTGACATTTTCATTAATGACTACATTACTCAGATTTCAAATTCACATAGTAGTAAAATGTTAAGCTTATGGGAACAAATCAGTTGGTTATCATAAGACATTGTTGCTTTAAAAATGAGAGTTGAGCTTAATTACACATAAAAATAAGATTAGAGAAGGTAAACCACTCTATAATTGTAGGATGCAGAGACTACCTTTTGCATCCATTTAAGAGAATCTGATCATTAAATGTTATCTAAAGATACTTACTCATTCGTAAATAAGTTCACAGATGTATCCCTGATGCTCCCGAAAATGAAATAGAGAGATGTAATTATTCTTTCCACAGCTCAAGAAGGAAAATACTTAGGGAATTGTGGTCATAGTAAACAAGGTAAGGAAAGACTCCATTTAAAAATAAGCTCATTAGAATAGATTAAAAATGAAGTTGAGAAGCAGTCTATGTGATGACGTATATGTTTCTGTGGACCAATAAATTCTAGGAAATTTAACTTAGAAGGAAAGTACCCCTTAAAGTGTGAATGAGGTAGTTTAGAAATAGAACAAATAAGGCTTTGATAAGTTATAAGTAAGGCATTAATGAGATTCAAGGGAAATTTTTCTCATTTTGAGCATATGCCTTGAAATGTCTTTCGTAAAACATTTCTTGGGCTCTTATAACCAAAATCAAATTGTTTCTCCTTTGTTCAAAACCTTGGGAATGACTGCCCAGATGGCCTGTAAAATCCTCCCAAGATCTGCCTTTCTTCCATACCCTATTTGCTTTGACTTCATTTCTTACTATTCTTTCTTTTGCTTGTATCCTTGAACAAGCCAGGGAACTTGCACTGTATTCTTGAATAAATCTACCACGTAGTAGATACTCAATAAATATTAGATGAATGAAAGAATTATCAGTTGGTCAGATGAGATTGATCACTGGTTTGTTACGGTATTTTGTGTATGTGTGTATATATAGAAATTTCCATTTATGTATTACCAAATACTTTTGCATAGTAAAGAAAGCCCATATGGTCTTAGAGAATACGTACATTGTCATAAACACAATGTTGGTAGAATTATGAATGTTAAAGGTGAGGGCTCAGAAGAAAATGAGGAGCATGATATTGGAAATTGGAGGAGATGTGATATAGTTAATAGTGGGAGAAAACTTAGTTGAGTTGTTTGCTACAATTACATGGAAAGCATAATTTGTGAGCAGTGAACTTGGGTATTTAGCTGAGGAGATTTCAAAGCAGTGTTACAGGTCCGGACTGGTTTCTCCTTGCTGCTTTTAGTAGAGTGAGAGAGGAAAAGAATTGAGGGAATAACTGCTGAACAAGAAAACAAGATGACGATTGGGAAAGAACTCAGCCTATACAGATTGCAAAAGATGATTAAGTTAGGAGATTCATTTTTAGTAAAGTCTGTTGTGGAGACTTTCTAAGTCTTACTCTAAAGGTAAAGATTGAAGGGTGCAGCTGGAAAACTTTTGCTGTTAGAGAAATGAAGTGTGTGACTCATGGATCCATTCAGCCACCACAGCACAAGCCAGGAATGCACCTGAGATTATCCAGAAAAGATACATGAAGGACCATCTTAACTGATATCATGGATCCCTGTGTCGTATGCTGGAGACTCACAAGGTTTTTGAAAATGTTCTATCAGTAGAAACACTGCTAGCTTTTCGCTGAAGGGGACAGAAATAAGGTGAAATAAAAGGAGGCTGTCAGACTCCCAAAAATTTATAGGCAGGAAACAGGCTGATAAAACTGCTCAGCTGCAAACGTGTGTTACCCTTCAAAGAAAAGGAAAAATGAATTTTGGCTGGGAGCCATGTGCCTAGAGGTCTGAGGCCAGGCTCACAGGTTAGAGTCCAGGGCAGAGGCCAGAGCCACGAGTGTAGAGGTTGAAGCTGTGGACTCAGAGTATGGAGCCTAATGTCACAGGGGATTATTCCTAGGCTTTGGAACTTTGAAACCTAATGGAATTTGCCCTGCTGGATTTTGAAATTGCATAGGACTAGTGATCTCTTTTTTCCCTCCTTTCCTTTCATTTTCTCCCTTTTGGAATGGAAATGTCTCTGTTACCATATACCTATTCTACTATGGTATTTTGGATGCAGATAAGCTCATTTTCTAGTTTCATCGGAAACTAACATAAGAATATTTTCTAAATGCATCCTGATCTTCCAAACCAGTCTCATGGACATTTTCCTAAATCTCAGTCCTTCTCCAACTCCCTGTATCATTTTATTGTCTGCAGAATCCTTGCTTTTCAGATTCAGTGCTTCTGAATTTATGCTCTAAGGGAGTGCAATCCAAAATGGAATGTGAGTGTGCTAAGAGGAACCTATGATGAGGCACTGTGGTACAGAACCCAAACTTAGAAACAAAGAATAGCAAAATGACATTAAGATAAGCCTAATTTCTTTTTCTCTTAATCTCATCCTTTTTTTTTTTTTTTTAAGATTTTATTTATTTGACAGATAAAGAGAGATCACAAGTAGGCAGAGAGGCAGGCAGAGAGAGAGGGAGAAGCAGGCTCCCCGCCGAGCAGAGAGTCCGATGCCGGGCTCCATCCCAGGACCCTGAGATCATGACCTGAGCCGAAGGCAGAGGCTTAACCCACTGAGCCACCCAGGCGCCCCAATCTCATCCTTTAAAAATGTCAATTTGGTGTACACTTTTATAATACAGTTTTACATATATGTAATTTATAAATTAATTGATAATCACATATTAGTGTCTTAAAACACTTTTTTTTGTACCAATAGAGATGCACAGTTAAAAATTTTAGAGACCACTGTTCTAAAACATGAGTGCTGCCCAGTCAGCTGTTGCACAAGATCTACACCCGTTGCCCAAAGCTAATCCTGTTTTGAACTCAGTCCTCAGCTTATAGTAAATAAATAGGTAATTTTTCATGAAATGAAATTTGTCATATTTTGCAATGTGGCATTCTAAGAGTTTATCATTTATCTTTCCTAGTTGTAAGCACAAAGCTAGATAATGATCTGTTGCTAAGATATACTTTAAATGTGTGGCAAATGTATAATATGAAAGTTATGTTTTTTGTAGATTAACATCTTACTATAGATGTTAAAATTTCAGTATTAATTTACTAAGATACTAGCGAACACTAATATTCTGTGCTGGAATTAGCAAAGTAATGTGCTAGATCTGGCTTATACTGTTATATGAGACCTGATTGTATCTGTCTCTTCTTCCACTCTGCATAGCAGCCTGAAATTTACTGTGGTGGGAGTATTTAAACCATGGAAATGTGAAAATACTATATATCAGGGCTTTCTTTTCCTTTTCCCACCTAACTGAAGGAGCTTGTTGTGTATGATAATGACTAATCTTTTTTCAAGTCCTACTGTGGAACATGGGACTTTGAAATCTTTGTGAAAAATTATTATAAGGTCAAATGTGTTTCAGAAACACTGTATATAGAAATGAACTCTTATCAGAGAATCATCATATATGTATGAACATTCTAAGATCTCTGGTATTTTATCAGAGTGAAATTATACTTTATATAGCTTAGCACTTCTAAAATTTTATAAGTATAAATGTAACTCATTTTTGTCTATTAATAACTCATTAAATTAATATTTTCCAGAGTATTTTTTGAGAAATATAGAGATGGATCATGTTTGTTACTTACTGACTTATAATGTGTTTTATTTTCAGCCCTGCCAAGGTAACCCTACTGGGGTCAGTTATCTTCACTTTCCAGCACACGAAGCATCTGGCGGTATCAAGGCATAACCTTATGTTCCTTTATACCATGTTTCTTGTGGCCACAAAGGTAAGAATTCAAAGTAGCTGTAAATCAGTATTCTGAATTCTGTACGACCAGAATTCTGCATACTTTGCAAGTAACAGGAACATATATTTTTAAATATTATTACAGTCTAAAAAGGTAAATTTTGGGTTATTTATTCAGTGTATCCATGAGCTTCTGAAGCATAGCTCTTCTTTGATTCCTCATTTGACTTATGCCGGGCTATCAAGAAAGATTTGCAGATAGTCTAATAGTATATTGGACACCAGAGAGTAGTGGAAATAGCTCTAGCTGATCAGAGACTGCAGACAGCATTGTCTCATTTGTAAAATTAGGTACTTGGCGTAGATGTTCTCTGAGGTTCCTTTAAGCTTTAACATTACAAAATTTTATAGTAGGACATACTTGTGCTTAGTCTCTTGTATTATTACTGCCTCGTTGGAAGCTTTATTCCTTCTTGAAGATAGAAGATAGTGTGGTATAAGATCACAGGTTTTGGAGACAGGTAGTCTTAAGTTCAAATCCTAGCTTTGCTGAATAAGGCAAGTCATTTAATGTCTCTGAATCCTGATTTCCTCATCTTCATTGTATGATTGTTGAGAGGATTGGAGATGGTGCATATCCTTCTATCACTGTGACATATCTTATGAATTCTATTTGCATCTTGAGGCTAATTCTGATTATTGTTATTCTTACCATTATTAGATATTGTTCGCTATTCAAAAGTAGATGGTTGGTTTTAAAATAAGATTATTATTTAAGTGTAGAGGAATTCTATAGGTATTTTTGGTTAAAAATTTACCCATGGAATTCTTAAAAGGAAAACATTATGTATTATATAAATTTTATATCTTAGAGTCAAGTTGTTACAGGGGTCATTTCCTTTTGTTTCAGTAGTCTCTACAGTGGAGGTGATCTGTGGCTGTATTTTAAGTACTGCAGATATCTGAGGCAGTTTCTCTCATATGTGTCCTTCTCTTCCAGTCCTCACATTTTGAGCTGTATGTGTTTTTTGTGACAGCTTATTGAGATATATGTTACATACCATAAAATTCATCCATTTAAGTGTACATTTCAATGTTTTGTTTTTGTGTAGTCACAGAATTGTGCGGCTGTCACCATAATCAGTATTAAAACATTTTCAGCATTCCAAAAAAACCCAGCATGCCCATTAGCAGTCTCACATTTTGCCTCAGGCCCCCCAACTGTGGGCAACCACTGTTCTACTCTCTAGTGTTTTTGTTTATAAATTTGCCTGTTCTAAGATTTCGTGTAATTGGTATCATAAATACGTGGCTTTGTGACATGTTTCTTTCATTCTGTGTAATGTTTTTGAGGTTCATCCATGGTATAGTATGTATCAGTATGTTACTCCTTTTTTATTGCCAAATAATTATCCATCATATGGATATACCACATATTGTTTATCCATCATTTGATGGATATTTGGGTTGTTTTATATTTTGGTTAGTAGGAATAATGAGCCATGAGCATTATTGCACTTTTTTTAATGTGGATATGTATTTCATTTCTTTTGGGTATGTGATGTAGAAGTGGACTAGGTAATCATAATTCTGTGTTTAGCCTTTGGGGAACTAACAGACTGTTTTCCATGGTGGTTTCATCATTTTACATTCCTACCATTAGTATATGAAAATTCTCATTTCGTATACCATCATCAACTCTTGTCTTTTTTATTAGAGCCATTCTAGTGGGGGTGAAGGAGCATCTCATTGTGATTTTGACTTACATTTCCCTGATGACTGATGATGTTGAGCATCTTTTCTTAAGCTTCTTTGTAGATCTTCTTTGGAAAAATGTCTCTTCAGATTACTTGCCCATTTTTAATTGTTTCCATTTGTCTTTTTAATGTTGAGTTGTAAAGAATTCCTCATATATTTTGCATCCTAGACTCTTACTAGGTTTCTGATTCGCAGATGTTTTTTCCCATTCTGTGGATTGTCTTTCACTTCCTTAGTCATGTTTTAGAAGCACTGATTTCTAAAATTTTGATGAAATCCAGTTTACCTATTTTCTCTTTTGTTGTCTGTGCTTTTGCTGTCTTATCTAAGAAACTATTGCTAAATCTAAGGTTAAAAAGATTACCTCTGTTTTCTTCTATGAGTTTTAAAGTTTTAGTTCTAATATTTAGCTCTATGATCTATTTTGAGTTAATTTTTGAGTATGGTATGAGGAAGGATTCAATTCAACTTCATTCTTTTACATTCTGTGGATATGTATTTTAACATACATATTCATTACATTCATTATTTTACATGCATATTAATTACATTCATATTCAGGTTCTACGGATATCTTGTCATCCTAGTATTATGTGTTGAAAGGACTGTTCTTTCCCTCATTGAATTGTCTTGGCACCCTTGCTGAAAATCAGCTGTAAATGTGAGGGGATTTTTTTTTTCTCCCTCACTTTTCTTCCCCTCATCTAATTGCTCACCATTCTACTCATACCATACTGTCTTAATTCATTTAGCTTCATACTTAGTTTTGAAATTGAGAAGTGTGAATCCTCTGAATTTATTCTTCCTAAGGATTGTTTTGGGCATTCTGGGTCACTTGGATCTCCATATAAATTTTAGGTTTAATGTCATTTCTGCAAACAAGGCCTGCTCATATTTTCTTAGAGATTGCATTGAATCTGTAAGGAAGTTTGGGAGTATTATCACCCTAACACTGTTAAGGCTATCAATCTGTCAACACAGATGTCTTTCTATTTATTAGGTCTTTTTTTTTTTTGAATATTTAATTTTTAATTAACATATAATGTTAGCCCCAGGAGTACAGGTTAGTGAATCGCCAGGTTTACACACTTAACAGCACTCACCATAGCACATACCTTCCCCAATGTCCATAAGCCAACCACCTTCTCCCTACACCTGCCTCCCAGCAACCCTCGGTTTGTTTTGTGAGTTTAAGAGTCTCTTATGGTTTGTCTCCCTCCTGATCCCATCTTGTTTCATTTTTTCCTTCCTTACCCCCCAAAACCTTACTTTGTCTCTTAACTTCCTCATATCAGGGAGATCATATGATAATTGCCTTTCTCTGATTGACTTATTTTGCTCAGCATAATACCTTCTAGTTCTGTCCAGGTCACAAATGGCAAGATTTCATTTCTTTTGATGGCTGCATAGTATTCCATTGTATATATGTGCCACATCTTCTTTATCCATTCATCTGTTGATGGACATCTAGGTTCTTTCCATAGTTTGGCTATTGTAGACATTGCTGCTATAAACATTCAGGTGCATGTGCTCCTTCGAATCACTACCTTTGTATCTTTAGGGTAAAATACCCAGTAGTGTGATTGCTGGGTCATAGGGTAGCTCTATTTTCAACTTTTTGAGGAACCTCCATGCTGTTTTCCGAGTGGCTGCACCAGCTTGCATTCCCACCAACAGTGTAGGAGGGTTCCCCTTTCTCTGCATCCTCACCAACATCTGTCGTTTCCTGACTTGTTAATTTTAGTCATTCTGACTGGTGTGAGGTGGTATCTCACTGTGGTTTTGATTTTTATTTCCTTGATGCCAAGTGATCTTGAGCACTTTTTTATGTGTCTGTTGGCCATCTGGATGTCTTCTTTGCAGAAATGTCTGTTCATGACCTCTTCCCATTTCTTGACTGGATTGTTTGTTCTTTGGGTGTTGAGTTTGATAAGTTCTTTATAGATTATAGCCCTTTATAGCCCTTTATCTGATACATCATTTGCGAATATCTTCTCCCATTCTGTCAGTTGTCTTTTGGTTTTGTTAACTGTTTCCTTTGCTGTGCAAAAGCTTTAGATCTTGATGAAGTCCCAATAGTTCATTTTTGCCCTTGCTTTCCTTGCCTTTGGCGATGTTTCTAGGAAGAATTTGCTGCGGCTGAGGTCAGATGCCGCCTGTGTTCTCAAAGATTTTGATGGATTCCTTTCTCACATTGAGGTCTTTCATCCATTTTGAGTCTATTTTTGTGTGTGGTATAAGGAAATGGTCCAGTTTCATTCTTCTGTATGTGGCTGTCCAATTTTCCCAACACCGTTTGTTGAAGAGGCTGTCTTTTTTCCATTGGACATTCTTTCCTGGTTTGTCAAAGATTAGTTGAACATGGAGTTGTGGGTCCGGTTCTGGGCTCTCTATTCTGTTCCACTGATCTATGTGTCTGTTTTTGTGCCAGTACTGTACTGTCTTGATGATGGCAGCTTTGTAATAGAGCTTGAAGTCTGGAATTGTGGTGCCAACAACTTTGGCTTTCTTTTTCAACATTCCTCTGGCTACTCAAGGTCTTTTCTGGTTCCATATAAATTTTAGGACTATTTGTTCCATTTCTTTGAAAAAAAAATGGATGGGATTTTGATAGGGATTGCATTAAATGTGTAGATTGCCTTAGGTAGCATAGCCATTTTCATAATAGTTGTTCTTCCAATCCATGAGCATGGAACATTTTCCCATTTCTTTGTGTCTTCCTCAGTTTCTTTCATGAGTACTTTATAGTTTTCTGAGTACAGATTCTTTCCCTCTTTGGTTAGGTTTATTCCTAGGTATCTTATGGTTTTGGGTGCAATTGTAAATGGCATTAACTGCTTAATTTCTCTTTCTTCTGTCTTGCTGTTGGTGTATAGAAATGCAACTGATTTCTGTGCATTGATTTTATATCCTGACACTTTACTGAATTCCTGTACAAGTTCTAACAGATTTGGAGTGGAGTCTTTTGGGTTTTCCACATGTAGTATCATATCATCTGAAAAGAGTGATAGTTTGACTTCTTCTTTGCCGATTTGGATGCCTTTAATTTCTTTTTGTTGTCTGATTGCTGAGGCTAGGACTTCTAGTACTATATTGAATAGCAGTGATGATGATGGACATCCCTGCCATGTTCCTGACCTTAGCGGAAAAGCTCTGTTTTTCTCCATTGAGAATGATATTTGTGGTGGGTTTTTCATAGATGGCTTTGATAATATTGAGTTATGTGCCCTCTATCCCTACACTTTGAAGAGTTTGATCAGGAGGGGATGCTGTACTTTGTCA